ATGTGAATGTTGGACCTCTTGAAGTTGTCCCAGAGGCTGCTTACACTATCTTTATTTTTTTTTTGCTTATTTTTTTTTTTGTTATGGTTTGGTTTTTTTTGTTTCCCTGTATTCCAAATCATTGATTTGATTCTTAGCTTCAGCTACTTTACTATTTGTTTCCCTGTAAATTGTTCTTTATTTCATTTAATGTATCCATTGTTTCTGACTGGATTTTTTTTATTTTTTAAAAGATTTATTAATATTATTTCTTTTTAGAGGTGGGGAAGGGAGGGAGAAAGAGAGGGAGAGAAACATCAGTGTGTGGTTGCCTTTCATGGGCCCCCACTGGAGACCTGGCCTCCAACCCAAAGATGTGCCCTGACTGGGAATCCAAGCAATGACCTTTTGGTTCACAGGCCAGCACTCAGTTCACTAAGCCATACCAGCCAGGGCCTGACTGGATCTTTTTTATGGTTGGGTAGGCCTCTTTGCATACATCTTGAAGTCCTCACTAAGTTCCTTGAGAATCCTTAATAATCAATGTTTTGAATTCTGTATCTGATAGATTGCTTATCTCATTTTGTTTAGCTCTTTTTCTGGAGTTTTGATCTATTCTTTCATTTGGGACATGTTTCTTTGTGTCCTTGTTTTGTCAGCCTCCTGTGTTTGTTTCTATGTACTAGGTAGAGCTGCTTTGACTCCATGTCTTGGTAGTGTAACCTAATGTAGCAGGTGTCCTCTAGTGTCGAGGGGCACAGCCTTCCCTATCACCCAGGCTGGCTACTCAGGGTGTGCCCTTCATGTGCGCTGAGTACACCCTCCTCTTGTAGTTGAGCCTTGGTTGCTGCCGGCAGGTCAATGGGAGGCATTTATCCAATCCAGCCAGCTACAAAGATTGGCTGTGACCACTTACCACCAACCTCCACCCTCCATGGAGGATCAGCTGTGCAGGGGCGGGGTGGAGGGTCTCCTACATGGTCCACTGGGTGTACAGTTCCTGGGGATTTCTGGGTGGTGCAGGCCAAGGTCAGCCCCCACCTGAGCTTTGCCCAGGGCCACTCTGCCTGAGATATAAAGCAATCTGAGATGGCTGCTATTTGTGCTGGGCTTGGAAATTCCCAGGCAAAGCCAAGCTGTGAATCTAGGCTGACCACTGCTAGTGCTGGACCTAGGACTCACTGAGGCCAGCCCCTGAATATTTGAAAGAATTTAAGCAGTTGTGAAATCTGAGCCAAGACCAGCCTTTCATATGGAAAAGAAGCTTGGGTGGGCCCATAAATTAGGTGGGGCAGAGTCTCTGTGGATCCCCAAGGCAGGGCAAACAGTGTTAACCAGGTCGATGGAGTGTCAGATATGACACCAGGTTGCCAGCTCTGCGGAAGGAGGTTGTAGAAAAGGGAAAATGGCCTCTGCTCACCTTGATGCCAGACACTTCAGTTTCTCCCTGTACACCACTGGCACCTTTCAAGCTGCTACCCCTGTGCTGGAGCTCAGAGGGAATAAGTCTCAGCAGGTGAGTCCACGTGTGGGTTCTTTAATAGGAACTGCTGGGGGCTCCAGAATTTTCTTCCACCAACCAAATCCCACTGGTTTTTGCAGCCAGAAGTTGTGAGGACTTATCTTCTTGGCACTGGAACCCTGGGCTGGAGGTCCTGGTATGGGGCTGGGACTCCTCTCTCCTGAGATATCCCTCCTGAATTTTAATCCACCACACGTGGGAAAGGGATGAGCCCATTCCTTGTCTGCACCCTTCATACTAGCCTGGATGTGATTTCTTTAATCCCATAGTTGTCAGACGTCCATTCAACTTGGTTTTTGACAGTTCTGAGTGATGACTGTTCTATGTTTTAGTTGTAATTTTGATGTGGTTGTGTGAAGAGGTGAGCCATGTCTGCCTATGCCGCCATCTTGGCTAGAAGTCTAGTTAGTTCATTTGAGCTTTTTCTTTTTTTTCTTTAAGGTAGGCCTGTAATGTTATGAATTTCCCTCTGAGAGTTGCTTTGCCTGTGTCCCACAGATTTTGGTATATTGTATTCTCATTTTCATTTGTGTGAAGGTATCTTTTGATTCCTCCCTTGATCTTGTTGTTGACGCATTCATTGTTTAATAACATGTTATTTAGCTTCCATGTCTTTGTGTATTTTCAGTGTTCTTTTTGTGATTGATTTCTAGTTTCATAGCATTGCAGTCAGAAAAAATTCTTGATATGATTTCAATCTTCTTAAATTTATTGAGGCTTGTTTTGTGTCCTAACATGTGGTCTATCCTAGAAAATGTCCCATGTGCATTTGAAAAGTATGTATGTTCCACTGTATTGGGGTGAAATGCTCCGAAGATATGAATTAAACCCATTTGATCTAGTGTGTCATTTGAGGCCACTGTCTCCTTGTTGATTTTCTCTTTGGAAGATCTATCCATTGAAGTCAATGTGGTGTTAAAATCTCCTACTATGACTGTATTTCTCTCCTTTTATGTTCATCAAGATTTCCCTTACTCATTTAGATGCTCCTATGTTGGGTGCATACATATTTACTAGGTTTATATTCTCTTGTTGGATTGTTTCTTTTATCATTATTTGGTGTCCTTCTGTGTCTCTTACTATAGCCTTGGTTTTAAAGTCTATTTTGTCAGATATAAGTATTGCTTCCCCAACTTTTTTTCCTTTCCACTTGCATGAAATATCTTTTTCCATCCCTTTACTTTTAGCCTGTGTGTATCTTTCAATCTGTATTCTGTTTTCTTATCCATTCAGCTACTCTATGTCTTTTGGTTATAGTATTTTAGCCATTTACATTTTGGTGATTACTGAACGATAGGTATTTGGTGCCATTTTATTTTTAAACTATTTTTCTTCCCCCTCCCTCGCCTCCCCCTCCTCCCCCTGCGTTAGTGAGCTGTAGACTGGGGAGTTTACCTTGGGATTTAGACTCACACTTCTCAAGGGAACTCCCCCAGCCACTGAACATCCCTCTGGAACTTTACCTGCCACATGTGGGAGCCCAGCCAGCCCTCTCGCACCTCCTCCACACTGCCAATCAGTCTTGTTGTGATGAAGTGGTTTCTTCTGTCTGTCCTTGGTTATAAGCCTTCTCTCCAGCTAGTGTTTTGTGGGTTATTCAGGATGATTTCTCTACAATTCAGTTGTAATTCCAGCTTGGTCCTGAGAGGAGGTTTGTATAGCTTCCATGTCCTCATCCACCATCTTAGATCCAAAAACCAAAAGATTTTCATAGTCTCATTCCACATCTCATCATAAGATATTGTAAAGATTCTATTGCATTTTTTTTTCAAATTAACCATACTATTGACACCCTGGAACACTCTTCTAACTTCAGTTTCTTTATTGTTGCAATTTGTAAACGAGTGATGCAATAGATGAGTTTTATACACATGTAATTCCTCCACGGCCCCAACCACCAGCTTTGTATTCCACTTAGGGCAGCTACTTCGTCCCTGGTTACTCTCACATAAAACCACAGCATGTTATAGTAAATAAGTATTTCATATTATAGATGCATCTTTTCTTCAGTCAACCACAGAAAGTATTATCATCAAAAAGTATGGCAAAGACTTAAGGTGAAACATGTTGGCAACTTTCTTCCAACCATGCAGCTAACCTCCACAATACTCATACACCGTGTGTTCTAAAATCTTTTCTTCAAATCAACAATGTTTTCCGTGTGTCTGTACTACAGAGTGCATTTATATGTGTTGTCATCTTCTCTCTGTACTAATCCAGTCACTTGAACCATGCCATAGAGAGCAATGGTTTTTCTCCAGTAATAATTGACATTTTGCTTTTTACTATGAAGTAAAAGAGATTTTATTCAAAAGAGATTTCTAAGCATGTTTATTACATTTAATAATATACTTCCCAAAGTACACAACTAAGTATTGTATGACTTGGAATACCCCACGCCCCAAAATTGTTGAGGTTTGTCTTCATACTCTGGGTGTACAGAGTTTACATGTCCTGATGATCACGATGACATATTTATATTATTATTAACTAATATCTCTAGGTATTAGTTGCTTGTTAACTATAGTGATATAAATCCATATCTCTAGTAGTCTTTTTTATAAACTTAAACTTTTTTCTGGTCAACTCCCTTGTCAGAGATATTATCATAATGGATCTCATATGACTGGTAGAAAATTGTTAGCTCTGCCATTTTCTGAGTTTGCTTTTTCTTGCACTATTCATATTATTTTCAATCTATGGATTTCTTTGCAGGAATCTTTTCAAACTACTTGTCCATCTTGTGAGAATTAGTTTAGTTAGATAATAGTCAGATAATATTGTGGGAGTCCAGTATGAGTCACCCCAAGATGTGCCTCTGTGGTGTGCAGATTGTTTTGAGCTAAAGGTAGCTTTAACCACCAGGTCAAAGCAATCTTCTGCCCCCCATCCTAATGACCTGGAACTTAAATTAGAGGCCTTTTCCATAAGAGATTATCAGAAATAACTTCTTTTGCAAACTTCTGTTTACTGAAGGTCTGCTCTTAATATTCTGCAATGACCTTTGGAAGTCCCCAAGGCACATTACCTTATCCCTAAGTAAGGATGTCTTATATACCCACATTTCCTTGCTGTCTCTGAACCTCTCTTGCCTGTGGGGTCTCTGACTCTCACATGTCTCTCATGTGAGCTGGGTTCCCATACATATGTATGTATTAAATTTGGTTATTTTCTCTTGCTAATTTGCCTCATTTGTATTTGATTATTAGATCAGCCAGAAGAACCTTAAGAGCAGAGGCAGGTTTGTTCCTCCCCCACAAGATACTCTATCTACCACCTGGGGTACAAGTAATTTGTAATACCTTTCAATTCACTTGAAAGCAACTGGATCGATGAGGGTGCCACTCCCTCTTTCCCTGAGGACTCTTCTGCTATGACACATGACATGAACACCTGCAAGGCTGCCTGTATCAGGCCATATAGTAAATCTTAATTTCTTTATTTTTACACTAAAACATAAATACAAATGAAAATTTTATTTTTTTCTTTTACGTTCCAGTGGATCATCCTACACGTCCACTTAGAAGACCACTGATTTCATCCATCCCTCCTGTCGCCTCAGTTCTATGTGAACATCAGCTAACTAGTTTCTGCCAACACAAGCACCTCCCCTACTCCACCTTCACGCCCCAACAGCACAACCAGTCTCTTCTCCATGCTTCGGCCTGGAACAGACCTCCTGAGTCCCCTTCTCCTCTCCTCCCTTTGGCCCAGTGCTCCAATCACTCCAACTGGAACACCAGGACCAGAGGTGTGGATCACCTCCAACAGCGCTCCAACTCCTAATGCCACGGCGGGGGGGTGGGGGGGTGGGGAGGTTATTCAAGCATTTTTGGACACCCAGAGGTATTGGGGATCTGTGCTCCACACTCCCCACACTAATGCTTTCCTCCATTCCACAGTGTCCACACACCTCCAAGATGAGCATGGCAGCCTCTAAATGCCCAGTTTCTCTGTCTCCTTTCATAATCGCCCCAGCTACAAAAGCCAAAATTCTCTCCCCCCACCCAAGGAGATATTAAGACAGGGGCTCTGCTTCTGAGAGTGCTTTAGCAGAAACTCATCAAATACACCTAGTTTTCAACCCAAAGTGCACAGGGGCCTCTACTAATTGAGTGGACTGAAATCATGGTATATGGTCTAACAAGGGGGCAGAACTGCGTGCATCAGAAGTGCGTGGTGGCTGGAGAAAGAGTTCCTAGGACAGTATTCCTGACTCTGGGCATGGAAGGGCATTGTGACCTCTGCAGATGCTGTGGCAGAATGGGGGTACAGCCTCCCCCCTGCCCCTTCACTCCAGTTTGGTATTCAGTTCCCTCCCCCATGACTTTAACTCCTGTGTAGTCAGTCAGTCATTCCTAAGCAAGCTGGGGTCTTACAGTCCCCTCTAAGCTAACTACTGGTTCCTTTTTCTTCTGATATTGATTTCTAGACAGGAGAGAGTGGAACCTGAGCACTTTGAAAATTAGGGTGAATGAGAGCTGGGCTCTAGACCCAAAGCACATGCAGCCAGGATTAGAAATGGAGCTGCTGTGACAGGAAGCCAAAGGAGGATGTCCTGGGAGCCACGCCAGGTCCCGAAGAGGGACAGGAAGAACATTCAGGGCTGGTGTTGAGTCTTTGGGGTGACTGGGAGTGTTGGGCTTAGAGCCCCTCAGTCCTCTCTGGAGGGGAGTGAAGGAGGGTCAGTGAGTGGGTATTTGAGGCTTAGGACCCACCCCACGTGACTGCAGAATGCTCACTCAGTAGTCAAGGGGCTGACGCTCCCCAGGATGTGCCTGTCTACTGATTGCACGTGTCTCTGTAAGTAAACTGAAGTCTGGGAATTAGCAGGCCCCTTCTGCATCTAAAAATGGCCTGTTGTCTCTGCCTCCCCTCCAGGACTCTGTGCAAGATCATCCTAGCAGTTGTCCACTTCAGCACTAACTCATTTTCATGTTCATGTCTTTCCTACTCTCTACAGCTCCACCATCAGCCTAGTCATTATACCATTTCATGAGAGTCTGCAGTTGGATGTCTATAGATGGGAATCACAGCCACAAACAGCCTTGCACATTTAACTCATTGTGACCTGCCCAGATCATCTGCTCCCACCTCCCTTCCTCTCTTGCCGTATAATTTGAAATTCTAGCATGATTGTAGCCCTCTAGAATTATTGGTAGGGGTGAGAGGGAGGTGGGCAGAGGAGAGACTCAGATGAGACTGCGACCTCTGTCTCCCAGAAATGCAATCTGGCCCACTCCCTCCTTCTCTCTCTCTCTCTCTCTCTCTCTCTCTCTCACACACACACACACACACACATGTGCGCGCACACGCAGCAGAGACCATGCACATTCCTAAGACCTTCCTTGGCTGCAGCTTCTAGCAGTCCCAATCCCAGGCTGTCTTCTTCCTGATTCCTGATTTAGAACTGCCCACTCAATCATTCAATGAGCAACAGGGGCAAAGACTAAACCAGGAGGAAGGGTATGTAACTATCCTGTCCCACAACGTCTGTTTCCCAATTGAGTATCTGACTCCGGAAGGCTGGCCACCATCCGTCCCCAACAGCACTGCTGATGCACAGCCCAACCTCAGCTCTGTGGATTCTACCCGGGAGATCTGCAGGAATCGGAGCTGCTTAAATTGGATCATAGGGATTTTTCCAGCTCTTGAATTTCTGTTATTTAAGAATGAGCCTACCTTCAATTTCACAGAGGGTAATAACACCTCTGGGTGAGGGAGGAGGACTCTGCTTAAGAATTTGGTTTGGGAAATCGAAAATCAAAAAGTTGTGATGGTTGCATGACATAATTAATACCACTGAAGTATACATGTAAAATGTGTACGTAAAGTTGTACACGTGAAAAAGGCAAACTTTATGTTCTGTATGTTTTACTACAGTTACAAAATTGTTGAAAGAACAAAGAATCAAAAAATAATTTTTGAAAGAACCATCATTTCACAGCTCCGCTGTTTCCTTGCATCGTAAGTATAAACAGGCTCAGGACAAATGGCTCTTTATCAACTATCCAACTATCCCCAAACATTCAGGGAAAGTGGTATAAGAGGTTCTTGGAGGGAGAAAGGAAGGAAGGTTGGTGTTCTGTTTTGGACAGACCCATGAAAGAAAGAGCAGCTGCCAGAGGAAAGGGGATCAACACAGAACAAGGAACAAAAACCCAAAGGTCGCTGTAACACACAAGCTCCACCCAGGAATCCTCAGAAATCTTGGAGAAATCACTGAGCAACCCCAAGACATCTTGGTATGGGCCAAAATTCCCATAGCTCATGATTTGTCTAAAGGATGAGTCTCTGAGAACAAGAAATAATCATTTGGAAGTCACTCGTATCTATCACCAGTTAGTGGTTCCCAAAAGGCAAGCTCCAGTCACTGGCCCATCTGTATGTTTTGTGTCTGTCTCACATTCCAGGTAATCCCCATCTAACCAGATCCATTTCTAGTGACCTACAGCAAAGTTCATATCCTTTCTAAATTAACATGGTGAAAGCTTGTCCTTTACCAATAATTTAGTGTTCCCAAATGTATTAGTTGGAATTAGGTTCCACTAAGGGTGATAGAGACCCGAAATAGCAGTAAAATAAATAAAAGGTTTTTCTTTCTTTCCTTCTTTCTCTCTTTCTCCTTTTCTTTCTTTCACTAAATAGTCCAGAGTTGGGAATTATGGGCACTTCACAAATCCTCAGACTCCTTCCATCCCCCACTCTCCCATCCTTTGAGTTTGGCTCTCATCCTTGTGGGGATTAGCAGCACCCGTTCCTTTGCTAAGACGAGCATACAGCTAGAGCTTTAGTATTAAATCCACGTTTTATGGAGCAAGGAAGCACCTTAATGGGTGTGAGGTTACAGCTCATTGTGGTTTGGATTTACATTTCCCTGATGATTAGTGATGAGCATCTTGTCATATACCTGATGGGCTTCTGTATATCTTCTTTGGAAAAATGTCTGTTCAAGTCTCTAGCCCATTCTTAAATTGGGTTGGGTTATTAGTGTTTTTTTTTCCTATTGAGTTGTACCAGCGTATGATTCATCAATCTCACTTCTGCATACTTAACCAGGGTTGAAATAAGGATCTCAAAGAGATAGTATCTCTCCTATGTCATTGCAGGGCTAGTCACAACAGCCAAGATGTGGATGCAACCTAAATGCCTGTCAAAGGAAGAATGGGTAAAGAAATTGTGGACTATTATTCAGCCTTAAAAAAAGAATGGATGAATCTTAAGGACATTCTGCTAAGTGAAAGAAGCCAGTCACAGAAGGACAAACGCTGCATGATTCCACTCATGTGTTATTTAAAACAGGGAAACTCATGGAAGCAAAGAATAGAAGGATGGTTGATAGGGGCTGAGGGCAGGGAGGGAAAAATGGAAAGTTACTAATTAATATACATAAAATTTCAGTTATGCAAAATGAATAAATTCTAGAGATCTGCTGTTCAATATTGTGCTATAAATAACAACATGTATTGTACTCTTAAAAACCTGCAAATGGGATAAATCTCATATTAAGTGTTCTTACCACAAAAAAAAAGACAAAAGAAGGAAGGAATGAAGAAAAATAACAGAAGGCACAGGCCAAATGTTTTTTAACGAAGCCACCATGTCAGGCTTCCACTTTTAGCCCCTCAGCCACACTGAGCAATGATGTTGGTATTTTTTTTCTCACATACAACTTCAGCAAGGCATAGCCTTCCTTTGCAAATTTAACTGCCTAGTTTCATGTAGGCCCAAGGTTACCAGAATTATATATTATGTTTTGCCTTCTTGTATTGTACTTGGAAAGCCAGTCCTAACATGTTAAAAGTCCTCCAGGCAGTCACCCATAAGATATCTACTGAGCATCTGGCAGGTGTCAGGCACTGGGTCCCAGAGCAACAATGTGGCCAGAACATAATTCTTACCTTCGTAGTGGTATCAGCTAAGGAGCATTGTTCAAATGACCACACGAAAACGACTCCCAACAGCGATATGTGAAGGAAAAGTACAAGAGTTGTACCAGAGCATAACAAGAAAATCTTACCTCCTTTCAGGTATGAGCAGGGAGAAGGTTCTAGGCATTGGCAGATATTGGGAATAGCATGTGCAAAGGCCCTGAGTGAATTTAGGGAAACAATACCTGAGTTACCCCCCTCAATACACATACAGACACACACACTTTATTTCTGTCATGTATTCATGATTGCACATCCTGTTAAGTTTACACAATAAAAGCTCAAATTCCAATGTGTATAAATTCCTTATGTTACTAAGGGAAGTACCACATGGCCTGAGTAAATAAAACCAGATTTAGTGCTCCAGGGTAGTTATGTTTTTTAAATTGATTTTTCCAAATCCTGCCACTTTCCCAGCATTAATTAAATTTATAACAAACCTGTTTTATGATTCCTCATGCCCACCCTCCCCTACCCCTCGCGTTTTCTGGATGTTCTCAGCCCTGTCAAACATTCCTTCCACGTGAGTATATTCTGAAAGTCAGTGGAGAAGAATGTCCTTCTCCCCATGCTGTTTTGTAAACACCTTCATTCCTTCTGCCAAAAATCATAGAGAGGCACAGTAGGGCCAGACCCCAGGTGGGTACTGCGGTGCCAGGGGCCACCCACCCCACCCCGCCCCTTCTTCCGTGGGCTCTAATTAATCATTCATCCTCCTCCAGAGTCTGGCCTTCTCTTCAGCTCTTCTCCAGAGAGCAAGAGGAGGAAGATTTGCGTGGCCTTAATGGTCCCGGGCTATGGAGCCTGCCCGCCTCCCAGTGCCACTGCCACCACCTCCCCCGCTTCTATTCAGATCCGTCTAATCGCTGTCTGTTGCTCTGCGTCGGGCCTAAGTGCATTGCGGAATTTCATTCCTAGCCGGGATCTCTGAACTATGTTAATAAAGCCACAATCTCTATCCTTACCTTTTGTGGTTTCCTCATACACCTTCCCTGCAGGAGTCCGTCGTTTAAACCTCTATCTCCATCCTTCATCTCCAGAACTGATTGCTGGGAGCCAGAGTCTCAGGGGACCTCCCTAGAGCCATCAACAGAATGGCCTCTGTATCAGTAGGGTACTGGCAACAAACAGATGGTACGTGCATATTAGGATGATGGATTTAATAGATAATTTAATAGAGGGAGTGTTAGGAACATTAGATAGTAGTAGATAATTTAATAGAGGGACATATTAGGATAATTTATTTAATAGATAATTTAATAGGGGGACTACAAAGACGTGGGAAGAGTGTAGGAAACCATGAGGATTTGTGCAATACTCAAGGGCTAGTCAAACCAGGGCGTTACCCGCCTGGCCCTGGAGGGGCGAGGTGAAAGAGTGATGATTACCTGGCAGGTTTCCAATAGAGCCAGATGCCAAGTTACCGTACATGCCTCACGTTACTTGGCCAACTCTTTTGGTCCTGGCAGGCCCTCTTCTTCACCGCCCAGTCTTCTCTCTCCAGACCCCTCACAGTATCTCACAAAGTCCCTGTGAAGGAGCTTCTCTTCAGCATTGGGTGTTCCAGCCTCCGGCCTGGCCTGCAGACCTTCCTGTGCACCTGATGACCGCAGGCACCTAGCTGAGCCCGCCTGCCCCTCTAGCTTCTCTCTCCTTCTCAGTTGAGGGTCCGGGAGCAGCACTAAGAGTCATCACCTTGGCCCGCTCACCTTCTTTTCCTTTTTGTTTGCCGGTGACCAGTGCCCATTCAGGCTGAATACGAAGTCATGACCAGGTCGTATGGCAGCCTGATGCAGAGGTCTCTCACCTGCCTTTTCAGACCAGCACAGTGTGGCCCCGCTTGTGGGTCAGACAGCTGTTTCCAATCCGTTTCCCAGGGTTACCCCCACCCCTCCCTGTCCTCCAGGGGTCGCTGTCACAGAGAACACAAAACAAGCTGGCCTAACATGCCTGCAGAAATGTCAGGGAAACAGCCCTGTTTTAATTAACTTTCTATTTTAGCCCTTCCCTCAGAGGTTGGGCCAGGGCAGCATGAGCAATGTGCACAGGCTGGAGCCCTTCCCAAGAGGTTTCTAGATCCTTCTGAGAACAGATTCCTGCCTGCCCTTCATCCACACAACTGCTCCAGACATACCCAGATGCATCTGGATCTGGCAGTCCTGATTCCCAGGACACCAGGCTGTCCCAGCAGCACCATGCCTCTGTTACCGCAGTTAAGGGACATGTCTGTCCAAGCAGAAAGTCACTCCACAGACTTTCTGAATATTCCTCCTCCTCTCCAGATGTCAGCAGCTAAAATCATGCAGCCCAGTTTATTAAATGCTCTCTGTCCTGCGGGTGGGGTTTTAGGGAGGAGAGTTGCATGCCCTTCTTATATCCCTTAGGATTGATAATTGTGTTTTTAACAGGAAAAAAACTTGAATGGAATAGTATGTTTACCAAGGTCATATAGCAAATGCTCCTGATAGAACATTATGTTATAAAAGTAGGACACGGAGCAGGATTTCAGCTATGTGAAAAATAATACAAATGAAATAAAATACATTAAAAACTAGGCATTAAAACATGGTAGAAAATTTTTTAGAAATATATTTTATGTTCTGGGGGAAAAATCTCTCACCTTGGAGGGCAGACCCTGATTCTCCAATGGGCTGCCCACAGCCCTTCTCTGCCCCAGACCCCTGGGAGGGCTCTGGTTGGTAGAAAAGACACTGTGACTAGCAATGTGATTTTATCCAAGGAAAGGGAAAGCTATATGTGAAAGCTGGAGCGTTTGGGGTGCTCTGAAATAGGAGGGATGGAAAGAAGAGAGAATGTGAACTGTGAGGGAAGAGTCTTAACAGAGAAGGAAACCCAAAACCTTGGCAATAGGACAGGACCAAATCGAAAAGACAATGAAACATTCCCTATGTGAAGGAGGGGAACGCGTACTAGATTTCAAGTTGTTTCCTCTTGCGTGCTGTGCTGTAATACCCTTCTGCGACCCCCCACATCTTCAGTAAATATCTCTTGTAACAAAAATCTCATAATGTTGATATTGGGCGGAATCAAAGAGAAGAGATCATGGCAAACAGCAATGTGAAACAATACAGAAGCTGAGGTAACACAAATCCTCTTGCATTAGCCAAGATACGCTAGGCGATAGCAAACATATACAAAACAAAGAATAAAACTCAATCGTTCGACACACCAGAGTTAGGTTTCTTATGTGGCTTATGACACAAGCCAGTGCAGGCCGAGCGGCTCTCCAGCAGGGCTTTCCTGCAGTGACTCAGAGCCTCATGCAGCCCCGTCCTGAGCTCCCGCTGTCAATGCGTCTTTCACGACTTGATGTGTCGGGGAGGGGAGGCAGTATGACCACTAAAGCCGAGCCGAGAAGGAAACGGACACGTTAAATCTGTATCTTAAAAACCAGAAAGGCTGAAGACCAATGATCTAAGTTTCCAACTCAAAAGCTAGAAAAAAAAAAACAAAAAACAAAGTAAACCCAAAAAAGTGGGAAGGAGAAGCAGAATGAAGATAAGAGCAGGAATTAATGAAACATTAAAAAAAATACAATAGAGAAAATCAACAGTCAAAAGCTTATTCTTTGGCTAGATTAATATAATTAATAAACCTCTAGCAAGACAAATCTTGGAAAAGAGAAAGAGAAAATACAAATACCAAAATCAGTTATAAGAGTGGAATCGTACTACAGACCTACACACATTAAAAGGATAATGAGAATATAATAAACATTATGCAAATAAATTGGCATTTTATATGCCAACATGTGTGCCATTAAATCAGAAATCTTAGGTAAAATATACATGTTTTTAAAAATATGATTTACCAAAATTTTCACAAAAAGAAATTTAAAATACCAGTAGTCCTATATGTATCAAAAAAATTGAATTTGAAATTAAAAAACTTCTCACAAAGAAAACTGCAGCCTCAAATATGTTCACAAAAATTTAACGAATAAGTAGCACTGATCTAAGCAAACACATTCAGAGACTAGAAGAAGAGGAAAAGCATCCAAACTCATTTTGTAAGGCTTGCAAAACCTTGATATTGCAAGCTCAGAAAAACATTACAAGATAGGAAAATTACCTGCCAATGACTTTGGCTGGGGAATTTAGAGAAGTATACGGTGAGCTTAGCGGGTGAACAATAACCGTCTCCACCACAGCATACCCTTATGGCCATTAAACATCCCTTTGTTCCCTTCTTCTCACAAG